ACAGCTGGAGTATTGCATCCAATTCTGGGCTCCACACTTTAGAAAGGATGTGGAGAAGCTTGAGAGAGTCCAGGGGAGAGGCATGTGCATGATTAGAGGTCAAGAGAACAGGCCTTATGAGGAGAGGCTAATGGACATGGGATTCTTCAGCCTGGAAAAGTGAAGGCTCAGGAGTGACTTGGTGGCAGCCTATAAGTATATAAGGGGTGTGCATCAGGAACTGGGCGAATGTCTGGTCAGCAGGGCACCCTGAGGGAAGACAAGGTCTAATGGTCACAAACTGCTGGAAGACCATTTTAGACTGGGCATAAGGAAAAAACTTTACCATCTGAGTTTCCAGAGTCTGGAATAGACTCCCCCCAGAAGTGGTGCAAGCACCTACTCTGGATACCTTTAAGAAACTCTTGGATGCATACCTTGCTGGGGTGATCTGACCCCAGCTGAGTTCCTGCCCCTTGTGCAGGGGGCTGGACCCGATGATCTTGCGAGGTCTCTTCCAGCACTAATGTCTATGAATCTGTTAACCACCACAGAACAAACTGATTTTTAAACAGAGTTATATAAGCAACCTTTTAACCTCCATTTCTACATATTAATATTCAAAAGGCTCCTAGATAGAAACATACTAATATCAGGTATATACAGTGAAATAAAAGTGGGAGAAATAATGTAGTCAGTGCATTGGTAGAAATAAATCAAGAACTGCTTTGGCAGGAATGGAAACAAAAAGTAACCCCTGAAATTAGCATTTGAGACAGATCAAACATATGCCATGTTTATAATATTTTTCACTTTCATGTGTATCTATATTCATAAACCCCAGAGTGGAATCTGCAGTTGTGCTGCAGAGAAGCGTGGAGGCTGACCCAACTCAGCACAGGCAGCCTGGGACATGAGCCCCCAGTACCCTCACTGTCCTTCAAACCAAAATACCATGCCCTTTTACTAAACATACCCAATAATAAGAATATTTAAAAAATTAAAGACTACTTCCTCTTAGTTCAGATTAGAAAATAATTTTGGAGAACCATGTTAGAAGAAAGTTCCTGGGCGACTTACAGTTCAAACTTCGCTGTAATCACCAATTGTGACCATCGATTTAAACATAATACTGTGATTTCTAACTTAAATCTAATGCTGTGACAGGGCAGTATAAAGTTAGTTTTCCTGTTCAGTTGAAAAATGAAATCACATATATACTTGTTCACGTTATTTATTAAAAGTTAACATTATGTTAAGGTTTAATATTAAATTGAACATTTAACCCAAGCTATACTTGTCTACTATTCTCTTTTGGAAAAATTTCAGTTCCCACTTCCGTGCTGTTTGCTTTCCTGCCTAATATAAATGTATTTTTCGTTATTTGCCTTGAACGCATACATGCGAGCTTTAGAGGGCTATTCATATCGCAAACTATAACACACTAAGGAAGCCACGCTGGTGTCATTCAGAAAATTATTCTACCCCAACATAGTTTTATATACATGTATGCACATGCACGCACGCACACACGTTGTTTTGATAAATATGTATAATTCTGAAAAATCCCAGTCAGGTTAAACTAGAAATCAGGTCTTGTTTCTAATTTAACAAGATGCCTTAATTGTAAGGGGCAGAGTTTTATTTTTACAAATAATTCATGCAGTCTGAGGGAATGGAAAGAGAATGCAGATCCTGGGTACAAAGCTTTTAAACAAGAGTACTGGAAACAGAAATAAATAGAAAATTCTTCAGGCAGTCTCTGAGAGCAATACAGGCTCTTATTACTATTTTTTGCAGAATTTTAGCAACTTGTTTTCTAAAATAGCCATTCTGTTGACCAACTCGATATCTCTTTGTATGGGCAGTAGTGCAGCACAGACTTTCATACCACAGATGATGACAACACAGTGCATTGCTGTATTGTTAATGACCCCTGAAATTGCTTCAGTTCTTCTCTTGGCCATAGAGAGGCATTTTTGGAGAGTGTCACAATATATGAAAAAGTTTTAGGCTTTGGTAGCAATCAGTTTGAATGCTGTCGTTGCAGCCAGGTGCTGTAGGAGAAAATTGTAGACTTTTTTCCCTGTAGGGTCTTCGTATTAAAGTCAGCCAGTTTTATGGAGGCATCTTATACAGACTGTCAAGTTTGTGTGCTACCATTTATTTATGTAGTCAGCAATTCAAAACTTTTCTATGGAACAAGTGCCAGTGGTTTGCTGAGAGCTGTGCTAACATTTCTTGTTTTTATATGTATTCCATCTCTTTACAATGCAAAACCAAGATACGGTGCACGTAAAAATAGTTGGAAGCAATGTGGGGTACTGAGCAAAGCTGTCTCTTCTAGGAACCGCTTCTTTATAGGAAGAGCAAAAATAGGAGCCAACCTGAGGAACAAGAGTGGAGCTAAAGTTGTAGCTCTCTGCAGGAAGAGTCCATGGGAATGATAGCAAGGGAGGAGAGGACCGTGCGTTTAGTCAAACCATGTGAAGGGCAATGGCAGAACAGGCAAAAGGAAGCCGAAGCAGGGAAGACAACTTGAAGAGCTGAAGTAGATGCCTTGATTACCTTTTTTCCATTAAAAAAGGAAAAGTGTAGCAGAGACAGCACTTATTTTCCAAGCCTGCAACTGTTCTGGTTTGCACTGATCTGTTTTGAGCAGAGAGGAAATCTGCACTCTTCCTACTGGTTGAAGATCTGAGCCCTGAATGCGGTACTGCTAACATATGGACCATATGAGAAAGTCAGAGAACCCCTGGTGTAGTTTTTCATCAACAAGAGGATGTGTTCTTTTAATTTACATGCAGCATCATTTTGTAGGCATCTTAGTTGAGGGCAGACTAGAACCAAAACCAGAAGGAAACAAAAACATTATATCACAAGTCCATTCAGCAACTGGTACTCTCTTCATAACATAAGTGTTGAGAAAATAATTGCTAGCATGGTTATCGTGATCTCTTGGGGGAGACATTGAGTGAAGCAATATCTGACTTCTCTTATATTCTGGTGTGTGGGTCCTCTGGTCTCAAACAGTGTGCTGGTATTTGTTGTCCCAAGCATTGGCTAGCTGTATCTTGGGCCCAACTAGTCCATTTCACATTGTTTCCAATAACATGATTGAGGCATTGAGTAATCTCAACTCTCATTGACTTACAGGGGAGCAGAAGGTATTCAGCATGTTGCAGGGTATGATCACGTAAGTCGCAGGTGTCAAACTCATCTGGCAGTAACATGGGACTGGTCCTCAGGCTAAGCGAGCAGCGTGGAGCTGGTCCACAGACTGTATTGGGCCCACAGGCCAGCTTTGGGCACACGATTCAGCATGATGCTGGGTCTGGTCCAGTCTGGCATACGGGACTGATCCAGGCACATGCTGCACACAGCATGCCAGGTCCAGTGAGAGACCCTGGAGGCAGCGCCATGGGCCAGATGATAGGGCTCCATGGACTAGATCCAGCCTTTGATATCCCTTGTCTAAGTTAACTCATTCATTTGTTGATGTGGACAGATCCTTCTATACATACACTTGCAAATGGAAAATGCAGCCATTCTAATGGGTTAATAAAATCATAGAAAGTTATGGTTGGAAGGGACCTCAGGAGGTCACCTAGTCCAACCCCCTGCTCAAAGCAGGACCATCCCCAACTAGATCATTCCTGCCAAAGCTTTGTTGAAATGTGTGTAATCAGAGTAAAATACTAGGGTTAAATGAACATCTAGAGAGGGGTTTAACACACAACTGATACAAAAATTATATTTTTTTTACAAGCATTTCTGAAGTCCATGCAGCTAAACTTGCAGGCTTCAGATGAGATCAACGCAAAACTGCTGCGTGCTACTTCCTTCCTATAGGGGGCCCAGCAAGAGGATTCTTCCTCTGTTGCATGTTTTTGTGGTGATTTCTTGATGGGGATAGGGATCCCTTTTGCTTTTTAGCAAGTACAGGCTAAGAGTATTGAATCATTTGTTAGACACTCAATAGTGTGTGTGTGCATTTAGATGGGGGAATTGTACTTGCTTGATTTCATATCAGTTGCGGGCTGTCTCCAGCTGATATTTTTTTTATATTGGATGTTCTGCCACAGCATCATGTAGATTAAGGCTTTATGTGAACTACAATACTTGGGAACTGAAAAAAAAATTGCAGGGAAAAAGTGAGGTGGGATGGAACAAAATGCACATAAGCTGAACACTCCTTTTGTGATTTGCAAAGTACCATTCACAGTTTAGGTGTGAACTATCAGGTTAGCAGCTCACTCTTTAAACTATTACACATTCTGACAGTTTTAATACTTAAGATGTCTGGTATTGTTGCATAAAGTAAAGCTTAATATTTATTGAACAACAAGATCAGGAGCAATACAGAATGAAAAAATTTCTGCCCTTCCAGTTTTTTTGACCATGTATACAGCATTAATTGGATTTGTAGATTATCTTGACAGCCACCGCCCCAATTTATTTACAGGTAGCCTAAAATCTTGATTTAAAAAAAATGCCTGAGCCCAGTCTTGTGAAGGGATGAGGGATTTTTTTTGTTTGCACCATGTACAGTTAGGGCCTCTGCCTCTAAAATTAATGTACTTTTGCATCTTTTCCCAAAGTAAATGTCCTAGTTCTGTTTTATAGTATTAGAAAATAAGTTATTTAGCCAACTGGCAAACTAAGGAGATTTTCTCCAACATACATGTGAAGAAATGTTGAGGTCTTGTTGCAATTACCTACTGCTAATTCCCCATCACTAAATTTAATTTTCTTGCATTTTATCTGCTTTAAAAGAGGCTTGTATCGAACAACCCTTGAATGTAGTTGAAATTTTAAAATGCAAGGGACAAAGTACCTTCAGAAATAATGCAGAAAGTACACCCACAGCAAGTGAATGGCAGAAATAAGACACCAGCTCAAGGCAGCTGAGGCTGCTAGGGGGCTCTGTAGGACTGAATTGCAGTCATCAGTGCACAACTCTGTGGCTCTCTTATTTGCAGATCTCTATGGCTCGTGTGACCTCTAGGGGTTCGCTTCCTGTTGAAGTGCTTCTTTTCCTGTAGCAGGTATTTGCAGCAGGCTGGCTCTTTGTTACCCTTTCCTCTCTTCACTATGTAGGTGCTTTGAAGGTATGAATCAATGGGTCTCTCTATTATTCTGCAAAAGCAACCCTAGGAAGGACCCTTGATTAATGTTTGCTGTTTGTGCTGCACAGGTTTCAAATCTAGGAGAGGCAGAGCAGTTGGCTGAGTGCCTAACATCTTCCAGCAAAGTCATGTGGCTGGGCTCAGGGAGCACTTCCTGACCTTTTTATACCTGAGTTCAAGAATGTTAATTAGATTTTGAACTACTTTTAAAAATCTGCCTTCTATAAAAACTTTTAATGGGTTCCAAAGTTGCAGTATATGCTGCGGCATATGGGAACAGGGAAACTACAAGAGGTAGGAGATCAAGGCATTAGTGGATGTTTTTTGTGTTTTTTGTTTTTGGGGGTTTTTTTTCCAGTTGGAGTTTTCTTAGCACTGTTCTTCATGTAAGGCCTTACAGATTATTTGGGGAAAAGAAACCAAGAAAGAGATGGAGGCGTGAACCTGATGGTTATATTTCAAAATGTGTTTTGACTTGCTGTTTTTGCAAAGTGACATTTCCAGTCTTAGAGTAGCATCATTCTTGAACTGCACAAAAATGATCTATGAATTAAATGTTTGGTTTTATGGGTGTTGTTATAGTGTGACAGTTTTGGATGCTACTGCAGTGGGGAGTTCTGGGTTAATTAATACAAATCAGTGCTAAGCTCCAGTCAGTGCCCTTCTGCCACCTGTGCCAGGCAAATAAGGGGCAGGTGGTGAGCTTTTCAGTGTTTAGTAAATAATTTTGACAAATGTAGCAAATTAAATAAAATACATTTGACACAGCAGTGTTTTTGTTTAGATTTAAATAAAAAAAAAATACATCCAAGCTGTATTTTAATTTTAATAAATCTGACAAATGTGTTAAACCTTTTATTTTGCTAGATGTTAGTACACTGTTATCATCTTCAGAAATTCTGTTTCCAGAAACACCTTGTCAAATTTATAATGTGCATACATGTGCAGACCACTGTTCTGGTTACAATGTGGCTATGCAAAGTATTGATTAATGTAGTCGCTTTGCTGCCTGGGCAAAATCATAAATTAATTCTGATTCTTCTAAAACATCTCAATTCTGAACAATAGTGGTATTTAAATTTTGTTAGTTTTAGAATCTGTCTGTCCTAGGCATAAATTTAAGTAATACCTATTACCCTAAGTGCATTTATAAAAGTATCATGCTGTATCTTATTAATAAAATAAAATAGCTTCACTTTCAGAAAGTTCTTTGGCTTGCAAAATAGTATAACAATTCTGCATATTGCTTTAACTTATTAAACTTGCTTTTGGGAATACATTTGGAATTTCATTCATCTGATGTGCTCCCTCCTTGTACAGTGTCAGAGTAGGTGCATCTACATGTGCCTCTTCTAAGGGAGCTTAGCCTAAAATCGCCATTTTTAAGGCACATTAAGGGCATGTGCCTACACGTGCATACTCTTAATGCACCTTAAAACTGGTGATTTAAGGCTATGTTAGCCTAAATTTGATACCTGTATAAAGCAGGCATCAAATTTTGACGCAAATAGCTAAGTCGCATTAGCACACGTGTAGACGTGTTAATGCGCATTAGCGTGTCTGCACATGTGCTAATGCGACTTAGCTATTAACGCCTCAATTTAATGCATCTTAATGTGCATTAGTGCATCTACGTGTACACACACGCTTGAATCATTTTAATGTGCCTAAAGCAAAAGCACATTAAGTTTAGGTGCACATAAACACTAAGTGTGTCTACACATGTATTTACCTATGATATGGTTAGTTGTCTGGAGGTAGCTGCTGTCAGCTATAATGAATATTCCTCATCAGAGTATGGGTGATCGATATAGTACATGGGTCACTGATTTTCAGTGCGTGGGGTACCCCATGTCTCATGCACCCCTGATTTGAACACAGATTGCTTTTTGTAGAACGTCTTCAAGCTCCTAAGCAATAGGATCTGGGTCTAAGTAATATGTAGTATAAATGCAGCAATTCACATGTTCATAAGTTTTACGTATATTAAGTAATTTTCATAACAGCACCATGAAGCGCTGGTATCCTTATACTAAATGGGGAAACTGAGGTACAGAGTTCAAGTTAACTTTAAGGCAGTATGAGTTACTGGCTGAGTAGTTAGAATTTGGGGATTACTGGGTGCGTCTAGACAAGAGACACTGCGCAGTAGCATCACTCGGCACATACCACGACACAGTGCTACTGCACAGTAGTAGCGAGCTACTGCACAATAAATATCACCAGGCAGCTGTGCCGGGACCCTACTGCACAGTCATTTGGTACTTGGTTATACAAGTACTAAATGACTGCACAGTAACAACAGTGCAGTGGGCATCTCATATAGACATGCCCACTGGACTCTAGTTTCATGCTCAGATCACTAGGACACATTACCTCTGCCAGAGGCTTGGTGGAATAAACTTTAAGCAAAGTAAAGTCAGTGTCAAAAAAGAAATCAAAGTGGTTTATGGCAAAGTAATTTGCATGAGAAAATTAGCTGCAATTGGAGCAGTAGATCTTAAAATATAACTACTGTGTAATATTGTACTAGGAGAGCACATCTGATCATTGCTTTAACTATAGCACAGTATTCCTTCCAACATGTACACAATCTAGGGGAAAATAGGCTACCCATAGACGCACCGAAAGAGGTCTGTGATAACTTAGCATGAGAATATTAGTAAGTAGTACTTGTTATTCATGAAGTCTTGCATTAAGACCTGACTTAACTGTCATTAGGATTCTTAAAGTAAGGCTAAAATATGACCATAAAAAACCCTGTTGTTTATTTAGTCTGACTTTGCAGCTTCTTTCCAACTCTGCTATTGGGCATTGCAGGTGAGGCAGCTTTTTATAAGAAAAAAATTTCCTCCCTCCTGCTCTTACTTTCCAATTACACTTGTTGTGAGTAATTTCAGCATCATAATGATACATCTATTTTGGCATAATATGGTAATTTCAAATCCTGCTATTTTAATTCCACTCTGTTGCTCAGTACGACAGCACTTTGTTTTGGGATTTTGACTTTTGCGTTTCTTATGAGATGGTTATGTTCTCATTATCACAGTTTGCACTGGTTGCAAACCAATTCTTGTGATTGATCACCTAACATGCTGTGAGCAAATTGCTCTCTATGGTTATTTGTAATATTTGGATATGAAAAGAACCTCAAACTTTGAAGTCAACCCTTTGTTCTAGTTACACACCTACAGGACTGTTTTATTTTAGTTAAAATAATCTGAAACACCTTCCCCCCCGCCCGCCCACCGGCCCCCCCAAGGATTTTGTACCACTGCGAGAGCAGTTGTTTGAGGGTGAACTTCCTAAGATTGCCCACAAACACCGAAAATCTCCTCCTGTTGCAGGCTACAATAGGTAATCTGCAGACTTCTGGTTTTAAGACCTGATTAATACAAGGTGCTGAATATACATAATCTTTGTGGATATCTCTGCAAATTGAACATACTCATTATGCCATAGGATTCTGCCTTTAGAGAAAATTAGGCAGTTTAATCTCAATTTTGGAAGGTCACACATTTGCTGATCCTTTCTGGTGAAGAAAAAGATATTTCTCTATATCAATACACTCCTTTTTAGCAACCAGGAGGTGGGGTCAAGGAGGAGAGAACAAACCCCCTTCTCTATAATCATGTGCAGTCAAAATGGCCGACAAGGGGAAAAGGAGAATGTGGTGCTGTGCTTCTTTTCAATGAATCACAAATTGAGAAAATTTTATTTTATAGATACACAGGAAGAAATAGGCATCTCTTCAGGAAAGAAACTGAGTATAGCCGACTGTCTACTCTGAACCTCACAAGATTTCCTGGTTTGTTCCTTCAGTGTGCAGACAAAGTCCCCCATTCAGATCACAGAAGTAGGAGCAGTGGTTTAGATAAGCTTTTGGAGTTGGGTTGTGTTAAGAACCAGAGCTGTCCTCCGAAATTGCAGGAGTAGGGCACTGCCAGGATTTCTTTAGATGCTCGGTGAAAATTTGTTTTCTATGTGCAGCCATATTTTTTTAAGCAGACAACAATGTTAGGATGCATAAAGAATGAGATGGAAAAGTCACTTGTAATATCATTGTATTCCAATGTTCAATTTGGGTTACCTTGTCTCCAAAAAAATGACACAGAAGAAATTGCACTTAGATGTTGGACCGTAGGTCAAAGGCATGAAAAGATTTTCTTATGAGGAGCTATTAGGATTGTTTAGAGAGGTGTCAATTAAAAGCTAGCATTGTAAAAGTCTAGAAGGTGATATATGGTATACAGAAAGTAAATTGGGGATTAAATTAATTATAGTGGGTCCATTCTAAACAGTCTTTAATGCAAGTATTTTAAGTCAGCTGAGGAAAAAGGCCTTCCTTGTTTTATGTTGATGCCTAAAGCTCCAATTAGCACCCATTGTGCAGGGTGCTGTACAATATTTATTGTCCACAATCCATATTGAGTGAAGCATATCTTTTAGTGTCTTTGTAGACATTGACTCACAAGGTCTGCAAAGTGAAGGGAGTACATTTTAACCGCCATTTATTTCCAAAATACTTCAGCGACGGAAACATGGAAGTGCTTTCTAGCATCAGCATTCTTTATGTAGCATTCATTATTATCTGTATGCCCTGTCAGGTCAGCCACAGAATAGCGTGGCATTTTGAGGTCCATAAATAACTCGTCCTTCAAATTTGGCACATATCTGTGGCTGCTTCTTTATCGCTTCTTTATTCTTTATGATTCTGGATCATAATATGGAGCCACTCTGTGTACAGTAATGGTGGTTAAATTCTGTGGAAGGTAAGCAGTCATGGAGTGGAGGTAGCTGGATTCTGACACTTCAGCCTTCACGAACTATAGGACTTCCATGTGTTATTGGCTGATAAAGGGTCTGGGACCAGAGAGGCCTGGACAAGCATGAAAGGTGACTAACAAGGATTGTGATGGAGTATAGAAACACCAGAGCCTGGCCGCTGTGCCACAACGCTGTCCAGGACCACCTGGTGAAGGCCATCCCAGCTGCAGTGGGGGAGATCTCCGTGAACCGCACCGTCCCGGGCTGGAGAGCCGGATGCGCCCTGATATCACCATCACAAATGAGGGGGCCAAGAAGATCATGATCGTGGACATCACCATCCCATTCGGGAACTGGCGCCAAGTCTTCACGGACACCCAGGCTTGCAAGCGGAAGAAGTACACCCCACTGGCCCACATCCTGAGGGGCCGCAGCTATTACGTGATGGTTGCGCTCATCATGAGAACACTCAGAGCCTGGGGCCCCAGCAACAAAAGTGTCCTGCATGCCTGCCACATCTGCTGCTTCGCCAAGCTGATGTGCTGCCTCATGGTGTCCAGCACCATCCATTGGTCCCGTGACATCTACGTCGAGGACATCATGGGCCATCACCAATACACCGACCCCACCAGACCGACTGCTACCGGACCCAGAAGTCCACCAGGTGCAGAGGGGAACTGCCTGAATCCTCCTCTGCATCTGATGGGGTCCGAGAGGAATCTTCAATGATGGACCACTCCACTCCACCCGAAAAGGACCCCCGCGATAAGACTCTATAAGACTGCGAAACTTTTTCAACCTACCCCCTCCACGTTTAGACCATTGTATGGGCTCATGTGTATCTATCCTCTTTCTCTCTCAATGTTGCGACCCCACTCCCTCCCCTTCTCCCACCCCTTTCCCCATCCCTTAGTTGGCTAACTTTTGTATTTTCTGTAACCTAGTTGTGTTCCCCTCCTCACCCCCATCTCTCTTACATTAGTGCCTCGCTCAGACACTCTTTATTTCCCTTCTGGCTTTTTGTCATCTTTTTGGTCATGACTCATAACATTTACTAATACAATTCAATGTTCTCCCAGAATTACCTCTCAAAGAGCCCAAGAAACACCTCAAAAGTTAATATAACTCAAAAAAATGTGAGAGATACCTCTTCTCTCCCATTGGAAACCTAAAATGTCCCACCAGTAAGGTCTCTCTGGTGCATTCATTATTTTCCTGGAGAAGAATGAACCAACCTCCCAACAGTGTAAAAGCCAAAAAGCTTGACGAGCTGAAGAAGTGTAGTCTGTCTTTGTTCTCTCCTAACTTATACAAGAAAGAAGATATGATGTCCTATCATCGGTCAGATGAGATATAAAATAATATGATATCACCTTGTCCTAGGAGTTATCTGGGAGGGTTAACCGTTCTGCAGCAATCATGCAGAAGCCCCATCTTGTGATGCAGTACCCAATCTTTGATAGCCCAGACTGTACCTACAACACTGAGCAAGTAACATGAGGGCAGCAACATGCTTTGCATTCCTGTCCAACCTGTGTATTTTATTTCCAGACTTTTCTGGCTGTGAGCTGTCACAGAATTTTGTGGGTAATGTTCTCGGTGGACCTTGGTTGGGGGCAGCAGTGATAAGTAAACAGGCTTGAAAGTTCAATGAAAATATAAGATTTATCACTTTCAATAAACTTCTGCAACTTTTCTTAAGGCGGAGTAATATTTGAAGAGCAGCTATGACCGTGCAGTAAGGCAGTGTCTAACTAGGGACATGACAAAGGACAAATATTTAGACAAATATTAGAATGCCTTTAAAATAGCTAATGGGGCTTAAAAAGTGTTATAGGCTGCTTACAGACATGAAAACCCGCTCTATCCCCCCACGTCACAAGAAGCAAAACATTAGTTTGACCCAGCTCCACAGCGTCTGTATATATCATGTGCTTCAAGCGGGGCTTTTTGGGGCTTTTCTCTAAAGCTGATTCAATCAGCCATTAGATAAAGCACCAAAAAAGCCCTGCTGAAGCGCCCAGTCTATACAGTCATTGGGTGAGCTGGGTCAAACTAACATGAGATCTCTTCTGGGCATTCACTGGGTTTGGCACAGGGGTGAGCCAAGTTTAAAGTAAAGCACTGTTTTTTTGGAGTTTTTTATGTCTGTAAGCAGCCATCATTTTCACTGAAAAGCAAGGTGATGTTAGCAGAAGAAATAATTCTGTGGGGTGTTCTAGTTCAGGGGTCCGCAACCCCCAGTGTGTTTGCCAGAGCATGGCATGTGAAGGCATTTTGCTTTGCATGTGCCCTTCAGGGCAGTCGGCAGGGAAGGGGCTCGGGGTTGCAATGAGGATTGGGCCCCTCTCAGCTTTCCCCCCCATCCACCCAGAGGCATGTGTGCATCTGCTGCCAGCAACAAGCTGGCCTGGGGCTCCACAGACCTCAGTGCAGAAGTTTGCAGCCTCCCAGCTGCCTGCTCCAGCCAGCCTGGGCCCCTGCTGCCTGCAACAGAGCCTGGGCTGCTTGCAGCAGGTGGCAGGAAGGTTGCAAGCTGCTGCGCTGAGATCTGCGGAGTCCCAGCCTGGCTTGTCGCTGGCGGCGGGTGCATGAGTGCGGGCAGCAGGACAGGGGCCGGGGCTCCACTACCAACAAGTATGGGGCCCCTCATGGCTCCCCTGCCATCCGTGCCTGGCACACCACCATCTTACAAGTCAAGGTTGGGGTGTTTTTGGTACTCTGTCCAAAAATGTTGCCGATCCCTGTTCTAGTTGTTGGCACATTTACTTTGAAAGTTTCTAAGGATGCTGTCAGTTTTAACATCTATCAAGAAATGCTTAACGAAAACACATTTGGGAAAAAAAGAAGCATTGTCCCTTTCTCAACTTTAGTGACATTGAGAGACTCATAATTCTTTGAAATTAGGAATTAGTTTGTATTTTAGCCCTACAGAAAAGGAAGGATCCTCTGGGTAGAATAACGAGTAGTTTTTTGTAACTAGGCAGCCCGTAAGATCAATGGCAGTTCTGTGTGCTGATACCTCCCTATTCATATTGTTCCCGTCACTATGGTATTTCAATATGAAAAGAAAACTAATTTGGACCAGATTAGAATCCCTCATCTTTATTTGTTTAGAAATTCTTTCATGTGGAAATGGAAGTTTTGACCTTTGTAATGTGAAGAGAGACCATATTAATTCTAAATCTCCATTGTATGCTTTTTCTATACCCTACAAAACCAGTAAATAAGTGGATTTTTTTTTGTAACTTTGAATGTAGCTATGTTGCAGTTCATATTAATTGTAACTCACAAAATAAGGATCAATGAGGTTCAATAAGGAACAAGTACAAAGTCCTGCACTTAGGATGGAACAATCCCATGCTTCAGTACAGGCTGCGGGCTGGCTAGCTGGGCCGCAGCTTTGCAATAAACTGAATATGAGCCAACAGTGTGCCTTGTTGCCAAGAAGGCTAACAGCATACTGGGCTGCATTGGGAGAGTTGCCAGCAGGTCAAGGGAAGTGATTCTTCCCCTCTATGTGACACTGGTGAGGCCACATCTGGAGTACTTTGTCCATTTTGGGGCCCCCACTATGGAAAGGATGTGGACAGATTGGAGAGTCCAATGGAGAGCAGCAAAAATGGCTAGGGGCACATGACTAGGAGAGGCTGAGGGAACTGGCTAATTTAGTCTGGAGAAGAGAAGACTGAGAGAGCATTTAATAGCAGCCTTCAGATACCTGACGGGTGCTTCCAAAGAGCATGGAGCTGGACTGTTCTCAGTGGTGGCAAATGACAGAACAAGAGGCAACATTGCAGCAAGGGGGTTTAGGCTGGATATTAGGAAAAACTTTCTCACTAGGAGGGTGGTGAAGCACTGGAACAGGTTACCTAAAGAGGTAGTGGAATCTCCATCCTTCGAGTTCTTTAAGACCCGGCAAAGCCTTGGTTAAAATAATCTAGTTGGGGCTGGTCCTGCTTTGAGCAGGGGGTTGAACTCGATGACCTCCTGAGGTCCCTTCCAACACTAATTTTCTATGGTTCTAAATCCAGCATTGAGGAGGGAAGTGTTAATTTGTTGTAGTGTACATTATTTTGGTCATCTGGGATGTATTGTAATGATTGTAATGTTTGTTTCTTATAGTTCGAAGACAAATCTGATGCAGTTTTTGACCTTACAGAGAAATGTAAGTGCTCTTTTAATTTATATATACTTAAGAATGAGCTGAAGTTTAGTATTGGATGCATATTGCTTGTTAAACCCAAACCTGGTATTTTTGAAAATCTCAGTCTTTTTACCTCTTTCTAGGTGGTGATATTTTGGATGCAGAGATGTCTGAGGACACGGATCACAACCTAGCACCTGCCCTTGATGGCATATCCTATGGAATGCAGAATCGAGCAGGATCGGCAAACTCGCTGCTGGATGAGGATGATTATTTTCTGAACTCTGGGGATCTTGCCGGGATTCCAGTTGTTGGGAGTGACAATGAGGACGATCCGAATTTCTCTCCAAAGGACAGTCTCCCTTCTGTGATTCACGCTGAAGATAGCTTGGGAGAGGGGAAAAGAGTTACAGAACATGAGTTGGACAGTGAAAAAGAACTTCAAATACAAAATGCAATCCAAAAGGACCTCACTTCACCATTTGACCAAGGCCCTATTTTTAAGTCAATTCGGAAAGATTTTAGCATAACAAGAGATAATGGCAAGGAGACTTTTTCAACAAAGGAGAAAAACAGAGAAGGACCTTTTCAAGAACGTGAAAAACGTTTGGAAAAAATCCCTAAGGAGATAGATTCCAGATTGAAAAGCAGTTTCCATGATAAAACAGGTAACAATTGGACCCACAGAAATAGCAGTATAGGGTAACAGGAAAAAGAGAAATAGCTATAGTTCAGCATTAAAATGAGTTATTAAATGCATTTTCTTTATGAGCATAACGTGTCCAGCTGAATGCAGGGAAAACATTTAGCAACATTTTACAAGGCTCAAAATATAACAAATTTTGTTTTTAAAGCTAGAATTTTTAAAGAGGCCTAAAGGTATTTGATGTCTTACCTCCTCAAGTTCCTTTTGAAAACCACAGCCTAAACCCCAGTTTGGTTGCTTCCCCCAAAGGAAGTGTGTGTCATTTTAGACTTTTTAAATGTGATGTCCGAACAAGTTTTCTGCAGCCTGTGATTGAATAACTCTTTATACATCCACCTCCTCCTTGAGCTTTGTTTTTAAAGCACAGAGGATGAAGTTTAAATCAGTAAGTCTTCAGTGCAGTCAAGATTCTGTAAAATCCCTTTCTGAAAGTATTTTATAGTTAGATCTATGCTTTATATTTAACAAAAAAATACAACCATGTTACAGGGATATTAAAAGTGCAGGTTACTGTAAAAAGAAAAGAAACGAGTTTTTTGTAAGTAATGAATTGATTGATGCCTTTCACTGTTGATATGTGCATTTCATAGTGGTATTGAAACTCATTGATGCCTCCCAGAAGTGATCCAGGAAGCAACTTAAAGACCCACTTGCTAGGACCAAAGAAACAGGAATTTGCTTCATGTGGCCCCTTTCCCCAGCCAGCATGGAAAAGCCAAGGTGTTGCCTTTGAATCTGTTCCCTAGCTAAGGAAGCCTGAAAGATACCTGGTCCATTCACCTATTTCAAACTTGCCAGGCTCTAGAAGCCACAGCACAACATGGGATGCCATGCCAAACTTGATAAAAACTGGGCAACCTGAATTGAATATACAGTTTAACTCGGGAAATAAGAGAGGTAACTGTAGGGCTGGTCCAGGAATAAATTGTTCCTGACTATTGCTTATTGAAATTCTGCAGGGTGTAAAGCTCTCATGTTTGCCATTGTGTATGCTTGGTCATACACTCACAAATCCTTGTACGTTAATAAATATTTTGCAATCAATGCTTTTACAAACTTAGGCGATATGTTAGGGTAAATCTTTATTTTTAAAATGTTGTAGGAAACCCAGTATATTTTAACATATCAAATGATTATTCTCAAAGTTTATTTTCCAGGATATTAGTAAGGTAGTACCTTTCAGGTGATGGAAATGCAAAAGGCAGAAAAGCAAGAAAAAGCTGGATGAATACTTCTGTTTTGGAATATCCACAGCCAGATATAAATATTAAGTCAGAAACATGGCAGGATCATCAGAATATACTGGTTCACCTTGGGAGGCAGAGAACCACAGGGAAGGACGTTTGCTTCAGTATTTTATGACCATTTCATTGAAATGGAGAATTAATTACCAAGTGAAATGCTGAAAACATTCAATTCCCCTTAAGCACTCTCGCCTGACTTTCTGTGGGGGAAGAGGGAGCCATTTGGCTTAGTTGGTTTTAATACTTTAATACTAGGGAGGTTCTTAGACATTGTAGAGATGGACATTGATATGAGACCCTTAAGAGACACCAAGCAGTTACTCCTCTAACAACTGTATTCATTTACATTTAATGTAAATATTTTCCACAGTTACTAATCAAGTAGAAGAAACAATTCGGACACAGTTAGCGCCACAAGCTCCAGAATCGAATTTCAGGGTAAGCTATGGCATCGGCCACTTTTTACTTTTGTGAGTCTAGCAACATATTTTGCGAAGTTTAAGGTATAAACTTTAAAAGTGAATATTTTATAACAAATATGGTAGTGTTAGTATGGTGTTGTAGCCGTGATGGTCCAGGAATTAAGCAAGAAGCAAGGATTTCGTAGGGTGATATGTCTTGTTGGACCAAATGCACAGTTGGGATAGAGTTTAGACAAGCTTTTGAATGAAAGATATTCTTCATCAGGTCTGAGGTGTAAAAACTATGTTGTGCTGGCTTTTACTCCTCAGACTTGATGGAGAATATCTTATAATGAACATGCACTTTTTGTCTCCTTAGATCATTTTACTACCTGGCAAATTCAAATGCTGATTATTTTAATCTTACTGATCCTGTCTCTGAATGAATGATATCAGTAGAATAGTTGTATTTTGCTAATTGATTCTATGAAAGAAAGTACGGAATAAGTGAATTCTTGGGAGTTGACCACGGTTGGGTTGTGATTTCTCCCTATAATTTCTATGAGCCTACCACTTTAAAGTGGATGTTGTATTGTTTACAAGGAAAAAGTATTTTAGGGAAGGGAAACAGCCATTTTAAAAAATGTAATTTAAACATTAGGTGTGTCGTAATTCTTTTCCATACTCTTGTGTGTCAGGAGTCTAGCTACCTATTTTCTAGTAAGGAACCCATTGGACAAGAACTGGGGAATTCCTTTACACCAAGCATTAGAATTAAAGAAGAGCCTTTGGATGATGAATACGATAAAGCTATGGCACCACCACAGGGACTATTAGACAAAATTAAAGATGAACCAGATAACTCTGAGGTAAGTGTGCCTTTCTCTTTCATACTTTGGTTTTTATCCCAGAAACTGGATAAGGATTAAATCCTAAACTTGATTTGTTGATTGAAACTTAACCTTGAGAAGCAATACAATTTAATAGAAAGGCTCTTTCTTTTACCACCAGCAAACCCAAAGCTAATTATTTGTCCCTCTCTCATGACACCATATTCTTGAAAATATAATGCTGTTTCAGTTGAGTAAAAAAAAATGCTGTAATATGTCATTTTTAACATGGTTTATTGTAACATTTACAGCCAGAATAGATGCCTTTAGTTCAACCTATGACAATATCTTGTTTAAAAGCCCTGAAGCAGCCAGGGCCAGCCTTTTGAGCAGGTGTGCCACAAATTAGCCCCCACCCTCTCCGAGTGTCACTTCAATTCTTTTGCACAGTCTGCTGCTTTGCTTTTTGTTCTCTGCCCTATATGCTGATTTTATTTATTTTTTCCTCACCATGTGCCCTGCACAGAGGCTGCCCATGCTACTTTAGCATAAATGTCTCAGGTTGGTCACCCCTACCCTAAGTTTGTAATTCATATTTTCCTGAAAAAAAATTGTAAATTGTTACAACTTTTTTTTTATCTTAATAGTTTTATTTCCAAGCATTAAGGGCTAAGAACAATTTTAAAAAGAAATTTCAGAGCCTTGAACATAAAAGCACTTAACCAGATACCTAGCTCCTACTGATTTAAGTTTATAGTATGTGCTAGCAGGATTTTCTGAATTAAGACCAGAATTTGTGGAATTTTTGGTGATTTATAGAAGCAAGGTTTAGTGGTTGTAAAGTTAAGAATCCCTGGTTTAATGGACTGAATACAGTACTAAATGTCCACATCTTTGTTACTGGTTCATTTTGTGATTCTAAGCAAATCATTTCCATTGACCTCAGTTGTACTATATATAATATGACTGATACTTGCCTGATAGGCTGCTGTGGTAGTGCTTGTATAATGCTTTTACGAATGAGAGAACTGTGTGTATATAATGTGCACTGTGATCACTTAATATTGAGAAAACAAATATAGCACACTAGGGATCAAAATAATATTTGTGGGGATGTCAACATGTTCATTAATGTACTTTAGGTAATGCACATTAAATCTAGTACCTTTGGGAGCCTATACACGAGCGCGGAGGCTGCTCCGACACGCTGAAATTCCAGTACGTCAGAGCTGACTCGATTAATCGGTTACCCAGGTTAAACAGGTGGTTTAACCTGGTGGTTTAACTCAGTTAATCAAGTCTGTTGGAGCATGGCAATTACTGTACTCCAGCAGCCTCCTCCTACATCTCGTATATCAGTGTCCCTGTGCTTAAAAATGGCAGCAGGGGTGCTTGAACTAAAATTCATTGAATGAGTTGAATGAGTTCATTGAATGAGTTCAAGTGCCCTCCACCACCATTTTTAAGTACGGGGATGCTGATACATGAGATACAGTGGCGCTTTAATTAGAGCTGGTCTTGAAGCCACTCTGATCAAAGCACCACCCCCACCCCACTACTGGAGAACATGTAAAAGAGCTTTCCATTGTGAGGTACTAGAAAAAGGCCCATTAGCTTATTTTAATCCACATTAGCTAAAGAGCATGTTTTTTTGTGATGCTTTCATGGGCATTAAAGCATACATGTAGACATGCCCCCTGTCTAAGATGATATAAAATTTAGGGCTTGTAGACACTGTCCATCTGTCTCATGAGTTTGGTGCCTCTCTTCTGGCTCTGTTCTTGTTTTGATTTTCTGTTTGATCTCCATGCCTTGTTGTATCTTCCTCTTCTTTTGTGTCTGCCTATTTTATTCTTCCTATCTGTTTCTTGTCTGAAAATACTTTAAAAGCTGCTCCCTGGTGCCTGCTAGTTCCAAGTGAACAACAGTGTCACACATGGATAAGTGTAAAGAAAAACTTACTATATACTGATTAACACTGAGCACATTATTTGTAGCAAATTGTTTAGATTTTGCCATGCTTCCTGTAATATCCATGTAACAGTTTTCATTTTGTTCCCCCCCCCCATGATTTTTGTCTTAATGTTTTGTATTATTCCTGAATTTTGTTTACTCTCTGACCTGTTGTTGGGTATCCATGACAACCCTAAATTGGATTTTTAACTCTCTCTCTCTTTTGGGACTCACTATAAGAGTATATCATTCATTTGTATACTTAATAATGGGCAGATCCTTATTTTAGGCTGCATGAATATGGCAGAACGTAATGCAAGATGTCCTTTGCTTATCAAAGGTCATATTAATGCATGTCAGCGAAGACTTGGAAAATAAGTTGTACATAATTAAAATCGTCAGACACACAAATCCATTGGGTAAAACCTTGCAGGTATCAACTTCATTTGTTACTGGAGGGTAATACGGAGTGTGATGAGTTAGATTTAATTTTGCTTTGTTCAATGTGGAATGTTTTTCCTGCAGTCTGAAATACAGAACACTCTTTGGCACAAGCTATTTTTAAGGCTGAAACTTTCTAGCTTTCAGCTCAGATACATTGCAATGAATTTATGCTGTCTAAGGGCTTAATCTTGCACAATTGACATTAGGACGTGATCCAGTTCCTATCCTATAGTGTTTACAGCAGCCACCCTCAGTTTGGGTTGTTTTAAAACTTGCTTACAGTTGACTTGTAAAGTTTTAAGAGTTGCAAACCATTACAGTTTTTATTACCTAAAACACACACATGAGAGAATATTAAACACTTTAAAATAGGCTTTTGTCTGTCGTTCACACAAACAGTTTAGTTTCCCCTTTTTAAATGTTGCAGTCCATCAGTACCAAAGTGGACTAGTACCTCTGGGGGCTCTTGTGAGAATTCCAAAGATAATTCATTTAATTGTCTTAGCAAAGACATTCTGCAATTTTCCCTCATAACTCAACAGAAATGCTGTGAAATTTTTAACATGTAGTCCATAGGTGTTAGTGTCCCCAAGCACCTGTAAATAATTGGGTAAATCTCGTCTGGCTTTGTGGGCTCCCTGTTGGAGAGAAATAAATGCAGTGTGTGTTTTGAAAATAGTTTGAAATTTCCTATATCGTGCACTTCACTTACATGTAATGGATGAATGCATGTCTTGTTTAACCTGGGTTAACGCCATGGTGTTACCTATTGCTCACGTTGTAACCAACTGTAGTTCTCTGCCTGTTAAGTTCATAAACTGCTCAAGGGTGTAAGAACTCTTGGTCCCATCTTGTACTTTGTAACAATTTGTACCTTGCTTGAATATGTAAAGAACTTTGAACAGAATAGGTCCTGTCAAATTTCAGGATTGCCATTGGGACCATAAGGTGCTCTGAGAAACAAGTTATTGAGCATTGTTTGCATAGACTTAAGGTAAATGCATCCTCCGGGAAAGCATAAAGCCTCTTTGCAGTCCAAAAAATACAGTTGGGGAATGGATAGTTTTGTGTTCAAAATATTCAACTAAGTCTATTTGTTCTTTTTTTTTTTTCTTTTTTTTTTTTTTTTTTTTTTTTCCCTTTTGCTTTTAGGAATATGGCCAGCAGCCAAAAACTCAGGAAGGGGAGCTGAAAATCAGCGCTGTATTTTCAGTCAGTGGCAGCCCTCTTGGTAAGGAACAGGAGAGACCAAACTTAATTAAAATTGTACGCATCTGTTACATTCCACATTTGTTATTTCTAACTGCAGCAGAAATGAAGTCTGGTTTGACTTAGACACTTTGGTATATCTGTGGTTGGAGATTACAAAATACTTTAGAATCAAGAACTTAATCTGATAGGGCAGATTTAATTTTAGCAATGGGTGAAACTTGCTGCCATGCAGAAGGCCAGCGCAAGCCACATACATTTGCATAGCTTATGTAGTCCTAAAGTCTCACTTCAGGGAAGAAGTTAACTCAGTGCATTTTAGCTGGTAGTATATAATTTTTCTTGTTTTTCTAGCTCCACAGCTGACATCAGGTTTCCAGCCTGCTGTGTCATCCTCTGGTGTAAATAAAATGCTTCCTTCAGTTCCAACCACGGCCATCCGGGTTTCCTGTTCTGGCTGTAAAAAAATCCTCCAGAAGGGGCAAACAGCATACCAGAGGAAAGGCTCGACTCAGCTCTTCTGCTCCACACTGTGCCTCACTGGATACACTGTTCCAGCTTCTCGCCCACCAGCTTCTACCAAGAAAACCTGCTCAAGTTGCTCAAAGTAGGGCAGCATTTTAGTTTCTTGCTCTACCCACTAATATTCTTTATCTGTTGACTGAACTGTCTGCAAATGGTAATGTGAGCTCACTTTCCTGTCACTGGACAAGGACTGTATTATGCAGCTATATATGCTTTTAAACCTTTTCTGTCTACCACAGTTTTCTCGCTTACAATACATTTCCAAAAACTGCTGGAAATTGGAGTGCACATTTTTGTGAGAAATACAGTAAGAGCAGTTTCTGCTGCTTACCAGCAGAAAAGTGAAAGTAAAATCTTCAGCCATCCACAGGAAACAGAACATAGAGCAGGCTTTGCTCCCTAGCCACCGCTACTTAGTTACTTACTATAAGGAAATATCTTTTTTTATTCTGCCTTTCAAAAACAAGATGTATATAATATTCGAGGGGGTGTTGTATGTGAGAAAATATGGCATGCTTTTTAGACCTCTCACCCAGAAGTTCATACGTTTTTATTTGCATTGAAAATTAACTGCAAGAAATGTATGCCTGAAGACGTACTGAGTTTCCCCCCCCCACTTCAGATAATGCAGTCTTACATAATCTTACTCACTTTGTATAAGTTTTTGGAACACATTTAATGTGATCCTTTCATCTTAAAAAAATTTCTTTGGCTTTAATAAGTTTAATGTCAAATTTTAGTAGTTGAATGTTTGGATCAGATTTCGTGAGATTCACCAAAAATTGAAGTATTCTGATCTAGTCATCAGACTTCACAAAGAGTATAGGCTCTCCATTCCACGAGACTTGGTTTTTCTATGACTAGAAAAGTCATTTCAGGGCACACCGTTAGCATGTTATCATTATGTAATGTTTGTTAATCTCTGCTAAACCGAAAAGCAATGGCATTATTGAACACAAAACATTTATTTTGACGTGGGGCATAACAGGTCTCAAGTCTCATATGCTTGCTTCCTCTGCCCAGTATGGAAAAATCAACTTTCCCTTATAAGCATAATTGGAAAAAACCTCCCCTGGATAAGAAAGTAAGCCTCTGTTTTACAGTCCTGTTAAAATTTTGAGCCAGAATTTCTCTCCTGCTCTAGAACCAGTTTTAATTGTTATAAGCGGTGTTGTGACAAAAAACGATTTCCAAGCTAACCTAAGAGAGATTTTGGAAATCACTGTTCAAACTACCATCAATATCAATATACTGTAACTTGAGACAAATTAATAACCTCTCAGCTGAATTGTGGCAGGATTTGCGTATCAAGGGGAATTCTTCATAGTTATGTTTTTTGTTATGGAAGTCATTTTGAAAAATGAGTGCACCTTTGTTTTTAAATGACTTTCTGATGCCAACAACAGATTTGTTACCTTCAGATTTACAAGGTCAGCTTAACATAAAAATGAAATCAGCAATTTATTATTTTAAGTATTTGATACATCACTGTAAAATCCCACGTAGCAATGTCCAGTTGTCTTATCTGCATTCTGCACTTATGGGTAAAGAATTAGTTCTCTGTAAGATATGTGGTGCTGTTTTAAACTTCTACTGCATGTATCCTTCCAACAAAAACGTTGTGATAAAAGATTGTTCTCTAGGAAACTTGAAGGCAATTTAGTCAAAATAGGTCCAGTGTGTACAGGAACAGATAGGAAGGGGAAGAAAAGAAAGGCTAGCTAGTCTGTTAAATCCAGCAAGTAACTCTCTCGAGTAGAGCAGCAGAAGAGGACAACGGAGGAAGAATTGGAACAGCAGTGGTCAAGCTGACATGGGGTGATGGAGTTGCATTCTTTTTGTAGGTTTTTTCTTCCCCTCTGATCAATGTAGATCTTGTTAAAAGAACTCCTTCAAATTTTAATCCAGGCATTCTGAAATTTATCATGAATAGCTTATATCTCTCTTCCCTTTACTGAATTTAAAAGCAGAATTACAGTTTGTTTAGTTGTTACTCTATGTTCATTTATAAAGCATGTAACTTTGGATGATCTTTAAAGTAAGTCACACACACACATCCATCCTTGAAAATAAGATTTTAAACCAGAAAGGCCATTTTGTTGTATTTTGCTGGGTTAGACACTCTTGGAATTATGGCTGAAAAAGACTGGTCTATCTAAAGTAAGCCCACAAAGGTGTGAAAGACTTTCTTATCACCACACGTTTTCTCCTCCAGACAGGCTGGATAAAATTAATGAATCCTTTATTTATATTAAGTATAAACCTGCCTTCTGAAAATTTTAAATTATATCAGCCTACATTACACCCTAAACTTTATTATACTCAAAATCATTTAAATAAAAAAAATAAAGTTGATATTTGTCTTATTTTACCAAAATGTTAAAGAAAATTTATCCTCAGAGGTGATGGAAGTCATGGGTTAAGTTCCTGAAAGTACAGCTGAAGTATAGAAATGCCTTCTTAGAGGAGTGGCTTCTTGCGGAGGTGCAGAGAGAAAATTTGTTCGTTTTAGTCTAACTAATCCAATTCAATGTCTAGTTTGTTGACAGTTGGCAGGCCAGTTGATTGGAAGTTGTAATACCAGGGCAATTCATTTTAAATTATAGATTGGAGGAAGAAAACAAAATATAGGAGAGAGGTCTCCTCTTAAAATTATTAGAACAAAGTGACCAGAAACAATGTTTAATTTACTAATTACATATTTATTAAAACAGTTAAGTTTCAGTGGAAAACAAGTTTTGCAGAACTTTTGCTGCTTTCTTACATGTAGCACTTTTTAAAGTACTTTTACATATCTAATATAAACAGTTAACATTTTATGCATTTTAATTCCATTCTCATCTGAATGCATCTTAACACAGAACACAAGTAAAATATTCATTTTCCTATAAAATAAAGATGTTACCATATTCTAATATAATATGTAAAAATTAAGAATCTGAATAAATGTATATTAAACTATCTAGTTGCTTAGGTAAGTATGTATAGATAAATTGTATCCTCCTGCATAGCAAAGAGAAGTGCAAAACTTACTGGTTTGCAACTAAATACAGTGTTTGCACTATTTGAAAGATTACCAGTCAATAAGAGTTGACCTTTCTTTTGGAAAATAACTAAAAACTATTGTTGCCTTACCCCTCCCCCCGCCCTCCAAAAATGCCTGAAGACATTCATTTAAATCAGCACAGAGAAAACTTCAGTTTAAATCAATTATCTTCATTCTAAAGAATGTGGTTTGTCTGTGGCAGGCTGATATGAAGGTGATATCAAGCTGAAATGTATTCTTTGTTTCCATTATTATAGAGACATTTTAAATCCAAAGGATGTAATCACTGCCCAGTTCGACAATACAAACTCCAGTAAGGATTTCTGCAGCCAGTCATGTCTCTCTACATATGAACTGAAAAGAAAACCTGTTGTTACTATTCACACTAACAGCATTTCAACCAAGTGCAGCATGTGCCAGAAGAATGCAGTGGTAATTTATGTGCCGTCTTCTGCTTTTTTATTTGAACTTCTTGCAAATCAGAACAGTTTAAATGCCTCTGACACCAAATTCTGTATTACTTGGGGTTTTTTTTCAGATTAGACATGAAGTTAATTACCAGAATGTTGTACACAAGCTCTGCAGCGACGCCTGCTTCTCGAAGTTCCGTTCTGCTAATAATTTGACTATGAACTGCTGCGAGAACTGTGGGGGCTACTGTTACAGTGGCTCTGGCCAGTGCCACATGCTTCAAATAGAAGGCCAGTCAAAAAAGTTCTGTAGTTCAACATGTGTCACGGCATACAAACAGGTACTTTTTTGATACTTATGTCAGATATGCCATGGATTGAAAGCTTATCTGAATTCATAAGGATATATTTTCATATATAAAGAATAGAGGTTGTTAATAGCAGGCTTCAGTTCTTCCTAGGTTTGCTTGGGATATTTGCCTTTACGCTGCTTGCATAAAGTGACCTAATATTTGAAAAAGGGAGGTAGAAATGGTTTATTCTCGTCTCTTCTACTGACTCTTTCTGGGCACGCCATGTGATTTCTCTTTGCCTCCATCTGTAAAATGGAGATGTTGCTTATCAACCTCAGCATTATTTTAACAGTAAATGTTAGTAAACTAACTGTTCTAGGCATTGATACATACCCTGCTGGATATGCGGAATTATGATTTGTGTTATACCAGGAGTGAGACATCCTAGTGCCAAAACTGGAAATATTGAAACACACCTGTTTTAGTAATAATGTGAGAGATCATTTGGATATAACCAAAAAGCCTGAGGACAAAATTGCAATGATAGAGGAATTTGTACTCTAAATACTACTGTAATTTCTTGAGAAATCTTAATTCAGACAGACTGGCTTTCATTTTCATACACATTTTCTCTACAAGGTGGGTTAATTTGCATAATAAAAAATGTAAAGTTCTAGATAAATGACCTATTTTATTCTTTCCACAGAAGTCAGCAAAAATTACTCCCTGTGCACTGTGCAAGTCCTTGAGATCTTCAGCTGAGATGATAGAGAGCACAAATAACTTAGGAAAAACTGAGCTGTTTTGTTCAGTTAACTGCTTATCAGCATACAGAGTTAAAATGGTTACTTCTGCAGGTAACTTCCTTTGCCTTTTGTTTTATCTGCATAATTCCACCTAGTTGTTTATCTTGATTGAAAGCAAGGTTTAAAAAATTGGCTAATAAGATTGAACCAAAAGTAACGTTCTTTTCTGAAGTATACACAATTAGTATGACTACAGATGTTAGATTTTTGAATAACACTAATGTATTTCACCAAGAAAAACTAAAGTTTTTTGCCAACATTTAGTTCGCTACCTCTTCTGTTGTATGTGTGCGCACATGCATAGGCACTTATAAACTATCAAGCTTATACCTCTAAAATATATGTAGCCCTATGCACCTGGAAGGCTATTGTTGTGGAGAGAGAGGTTGAACACTGGGCAGGGGACAACTTTTCCAGTCAACTGAGCTAGAGCTGTGCTGGCCCTGTAGCTGGGACACTGCACCCCATGCCCTGCCAAATCTTGCAGATCAGCTAATCAGTGGGGTTGGCCAGAGAGCAATCCCTGGGTCCTGGACACTGCTACCCCATGTCTGGTCCCCCAGTCTGGACTTGGAAGGGGGCAACAGCACTGAGTGCCCTGACAATTTACTTCTAAAAAGTGTACCAGGAAGCTAGCCACTCAGAGCAGGAGACTGTGAAATACTGGGGCTAAGTACAGAAGTTCAAAAAGCCCAAGATCCAATCTTCTCAGGTTTTTCTAAGCCGAGTAGCTTGAACCAGTAACAAACTGAACTGTCATTCAGTGTTTGGGTGGTCAAGACAGGCAGTAGCCTGCACTGGCCCGGGCCAGGAGCCTGGGGACACTCACGCACACCAGCCCTTCATGGTCAGCTGGCTAAGGCTGTTGACCCAAGCACAGTGGCAGCTCAGGTCTGATTGGCTGCTGGACACACGCTGTTTCCCCCACCACCCCGCTGTCAGCCACAGGGAGAGGCAAGCCAGCAGGAAATCTCTCCCCAGCCCCTGCCCCTGAGAGGGGAATAGGGACAGGGAACACAGTACCTGGCTCTGGCCCCCCCCCACCTGGGATCTGCCTGGCATGAGGGAAAGACCCCAACTGGGGGCTTTTCACCCCCTGCAGCTTGGGTAGCAGGGCTCCAATTGGCTCATCCCTGCTTCCTCCCCACACCTGTGAGAGGTGGTTTTGGGAATGCACACAAGGAGCCTGGCACTGCCCATCCCAGCCAGGGTCTGCTCAGTGTTGGGGAAAGACCCTACTGAGGATTTAGCTCCCCTGTAGCCCAGCTCGCTGGGCTGGGGTTGGATCAGCTCAGCCCTGCCCCCTCCCCAGCCCCCGGCCTGTGAGAGGCTGGGGGGCAGAGAGGGGAATGCACCCAGCCGGGGTCTGCCCGGGATAGGGCAGGGTGGTGAAAGCCCCCACCAGGGGCTTTTCATAACCCTGCAGCCCAGTGAGCCAGGTGGGGATGAGCTGCACCCCCTCCTGGGGAGTGGACACGGCTGAGCTGATCCCAGGCTGGGTCACTGGGCTGCAGGGTTACAAAAAGCCCCTGATGTGGCCTTTCACCAGCGTGTCTCAGACAGACCCCAGCTGAGGGGTCTGGTGCCCTCCCCCCCCACATTGCCTCTCACAGGTGGGGGGCCTGGGGTGGGGGTGGGCCTGAACCCATGGCAGTCAGGCTGCAGAGGTGCAAAAAGCCCCTAGTGAGGGCTTCCCTTCTGTGAGGGCTTCCCTCACACCAGGCAAACCCCAGCTGGGGGGCCCAGTGCCTAGCTGGGCTGGTGTGTTAAACCCCCCCCACCTCCCCACCCCCCCACCTCTCACGGGCAGGAGTTGGAGAGGGGGCAGGGCTGAGGTGATCCCAGCCTCGCAAGCCAGGCTGTAGGGGGATGAAAAGCCCCCACTGGGGGTTTCCCCCCTCCTCCTCCTCCCCACAATGGGCAGACCGTGGCGGGGGAGTGGGGGGCGGTGACGGGCTGGGCCTGGTGCGTTCCTCCCCTACCCCATCTCCGCTCTTGGAGGTGGGGGGCTGGGGAGGAAGCTAGCTCAGCCCAATGAGCTGGGCTGCATGGGAGCGAAAAGACCCTGGTAGGGACATTCCCTCTGCACCAGGCAGACCCCAGCTGCGGGGGCCAGGACCAGGTTGGTGTGGTTCCTCCTTTCCCCTCTCCCCCCCACCCAGGCTGGGGGCTGGAGGGGGAAAGGGGCTAAGCCAGCCTTGCTCACCTAGCTGCTCCAGAGCAAAAAGCCCCCACTGCTGGGACTTTCCTTTCCCTTATCCTGTACAGACTGGGGGCTAGGGGGGTCAGGGTTCCATTTCCTTGTTGTCCCCCTTCATCCCACCGGGCTGACAGGTACTGCCTGGGAGCAGAGGTTTTAGTGCCTTAGCTCTGTGAGGGAGGGGCCAGCCCTGCTCCAATGGAGCAGACAGCATAGCCTGGGGCTGCAAAGCATTCTGGGATACTGGGGGATTGTGAGTTAACTTGAATCAGGAAGGGATATGGGACAGAAGTTCCATTAACTGGTTTGACTTAAATCAGTTAAGTTTGATACTATGTCCAGCTAGGTTCATCTTAAACCAGTTTCAGCCATTTTGAAAGAGGTTTACATGCCCTGAACTTCTGTTCTGTTGCAGGTTTAAACCAGTTTTGGATCACTTACACCAGTTTATGTGTAACGTCTGCCCCTAGCCTGGGAGTCCTAGGGTCTGTTACTGCATCACATAAACGTGCAGTAAATGTGCAGGCGTTGCGGGTGATGCTAGAAAACTTGCTAAAGCAGGGAAGTGGTTCTTCTTCCACCACAAATGCTAGCTCTTTGTGCCAGGAAAAGCATTTTTCCTCAGCGACATGTAACACCCGTCCATAATCTTTAGGTGAGGAGGACCTAGAACTGTAGACCTCCAGCATCCCTAGTGAATGCTGTAACCACTGAGATATGGGGGCGGACATCAGATGGGCACACAATGGCTTTTTCCTGTCCTGAGACTGAGTCTGGTAGTCATGAGTTCTGCCCAACTCTTTGTATCCAGAACTGCTATATGGCCTTAGGGGTGCACACATGAGCACCAGCTGCTATACTATTCATGCTCAGTTGATGTGATTATGTAGTTGCTATCCAGGTGCGTAGGACATGCACAATAGAATACCAGCCTTTGTATAAGTGATTTTGGGAAGGGGATTTGCGTGATGAAAAAATGCCATGTAGACCAAATCTAGATGCCGAGGCAGACTAAAGAGAACAGAATGCCACCCTGCATGTGACATTGTTCATTGGTCTTTGTTTTTTAAACACAGGAGTTGTCTTCTCTCTGTCTAGATGACAGTCAGTTTTGTGATTGTGGAAACTGTTGGTCTCCCTATGCTATCCCGATCCTAACTCAAGCAAATGTTTAGTTCTGGCACTAATGCTTGAATGACGGTGTCTGTTTCAATTAAGAGATTCTTAGCTAATTAACCATCTGCTCTTACTGGAGAATATACAGTATCACATTTTATGCAGACTGTTCTAGTACCACAATATTAATAATTATATTTTTATGACGTACGTATGTTCGGTGAAATGGGTAGATGTATTGATACCAGTAATCTGATGCTGGTGGCAGTTCGTCTAGTTGCTTCCACACCATTCAAAAGTATTTTTATTTAAGCAGCAACTTCTGTGTTTCCATTTTTGTTTTAAAGGGTCAATTTTAACATATTACAAATGGCAGGGGTGGTCTTAGACCAGGAGTGTTCCCCAGACTCTTGCATTTTAAGCTCAGAGCTGACACCTATTTCATTTGTGACCCGTAGGCAGTTACCTAGCTTCTCTGCCCCCCACTTGTTCTTCTTGTAAAATGGGCAAACACTTGCTGAACTTTTTAAGGATATTGTGAGGATTAAGTCAGTGTACAACAAGCACAAAACACAATTATTGCAGTGCTTATATGAGCATCTCATCATTGCACTTAGTCCACTCTTACTCCAGTTTCTTCTTCTATGGAAAGTTGTTCCTACTCTGTTAAAAATCTGTCCTTTTCTTCAGAAACCTTCCTGTGTTTTTGTATGTACAGAAAACAATATTTATAATGCTTTTTTTTGTCTTTATTCACTGTTGCGTATTTCCCAATATTTTTTCAATCAGGTGTTCAAGTTCAGTGTAACAGCTGCAAAACTTCAGCAATCCCTCAGTATCACTTGGCTATGTCAGATGGGAGCATACGCAATTTTTGCAGCTACAGCTGCGTAGTAGCTTTTCAGGTACTGTGTCTAAACTTTTTTGCTAAGTTCAGTTAATAGAATGGCAAAATATTGACATCAATCAGAGAGATGGGTTTTCCTGTTGCAAAATGTGATTTCTTCCTCAATTGCTTCTCCACAGAATTTGTTCAACAAGCCTGCAGGAATGAATTCCTCTGTGGTGCCCTTGTCTCAGGGTCAAATCATTGTAAGCATTCCTTCGGGGGCAACGGTATCGGCAGGTGGCACTACCTCGACTGTCTCCCCCAGCTCCATGAGCAGCTCAGCTGCAGCTGGTCTACAGAGGCTTGCTGCTCAGTCCCAGCAAGTTACTTTTGCCCGCACTGTTGTGAAACTCAAGTGTCAGCACTGTAACCGACTGTTTGCAACCAAACCTGAATTGCTTGACTACAAGGTAATAAAGGTTAGGGCTCTGCATATGGATCTCTCTGGATAGGGAAAAACACAAAACCATAACTTGGTACAAGAATCCAGCGATAGTTGTCTGGTGTCTGGCTTTGGCAGGCTCTTGTGGGATTTTAAGTATAATTTTGATGTATGGCAGAACTGCCAACAAAATTGCTATCTAGGCAGCATTCCCTCTTGCACGTAGAAACAATCTCTCCAGCTCAGGAAGAAAACATGTTGGTGGATTCTTCTTCTATGGAAACATTCTGCTGCTGCTGAAGTTATACTTGTTCTTAAAATAAATGGAGGGGGTAACTGTCCAGTATTGTCAATTAGTGATTTTAAATAGTTGAGAGAGAGAGAGACTGAAAACAAAACAAAGTTTGGTGTAATTGAATCATTTTTCTTCACTGTAGGGTAAAATGTTTCAGTTTTGTGGGAAGACCTGCTGCGATGAGTATAAGAAGAGAACCAGTGTAATGGCAATGTGTGAATACTGCAAAATTGAGAAAATTGTCAAAGAGACAGTGCGATTCTCAGGCATAGACAAGGCATTCTGTAGTGAAGGTAAGAAAAGGCAGGGCTATGCATTAGGTAAATCAAATTGGAAAATGTATGCTATAAAATCAGAATAATAGAGGTGATGCTGAAAGAAATCTCATCTCTCAAATAGGGCTTTGTCCATGCTTTCTGTTAACTTGTTCGTGTCAAGAGTGTAGTCATGAATAAGCTCAAGACATAGATGTTCAAAGACAGCTAAGTTTTAATAAAAAATAAATGCCTGTTTTTTGTTCTTCCTTTGGTTTTTTAGGTTGTAAACTGCTTTATAAACATGACTTGGCTAAACGCTGGGGAAACCACTGTAAAATGTGCAGTTACTGTTTACAGGCTTCCCCCAAACTGGTCCAGAATCACTTTGGTGGGAAGATGGAGGAGTTTTGCTCAGAAGAATGCATGTCTAAATTTACGGTTTTGTTTTATCAGGTAAGCTATGGCTGCGCATCGCTGTCCCTGAAATTTAAATGCCATAGTTGGGGGAAAAGTCTCTTACGGCCAAGATACTTATGAGCTCTTTGCCGTGGAACTGTTTCCTCTAAAGATCTTATTTAGCTGTGGAAGGTGTCTAAAAGAGCAAAAGTCTGTAATATTCTGAGAGTTGACTTTTTGCCATAATTAGGTTATTTGATTCTTCAGTGCTGCTTGTTCAGTGTCCAGCTTGGGGAGACATACAATTCCCTATTTTGTATTTCTCCATCACCAAAAAATCCTGTCTGCTGTTTAAAGTAGCAGCTCCTAGGCTTTACAAGGGAAATTTCCAAAGACATAAAAAAGGGTGGGGGGGTTAGGTGCCCAGCCTTTTGTTATAAGTGCTCCTACATCTTCTGAATGCCAGTTTTACACATAAGAAGGTCTTATAGGAGAGCACAGTATGATGTTCTGATTTATTTGGCTGTTTTGGGCTGGTGCCAATAAATGATGTATTCTTATATAAATTGCTTTGTGGAGGCTAACTGCTTTATTCAGAGCTATATGGGAATGGGATCTCAGTTGTCCTTACATATGAGCTTTTAATTTTTGCCCCCTCTGCTTTTTGTAGATGGCCAAGTGTGATGGTTGTAAGAGGCAAGGTAAACTCAGTGAGTCCATGAAATGGCAAGGGGAGATCAAACATTTTTGCAATCTGCTTTGTATTCTGATGTTCTGTAATCAGCAAACTGTGTCTGAACCCCCTCCCCAGAACAACACAGGTAAAATAGGATGTGAGTCATCTTGCCTTTTAGTTTGCATATTGGTGGTATGATCATTTGGGAAAACCTCAGTCCAGTGAACTTTTCATTAGGATATTTAGTAACATCTATTGCAGAACTGGTAGGCTCATAGCTTGCTTGCTGTAGAATATATAGGACAAACAGATTTAATAGAATCTTAGCATTTTTTAAAGGTAAGTTAGTAAACTTTCTGACTGAGAAGACAAATGTGAACTGCGTATAATCCCAGCTGTTTGTCTTTCAAGCCTGTAGACATTCTGGCGCTTTTAGAGCCATATTTCAACCTTATTGAGTATCCTTGTTAAATCTAAGCTGTAGATACATACATCACTGATTATTTTAGCAGGAGGAATGGGAAGGAGGGTGGGAGCAAAGCCAGTGAGAAGAGGAACTGTGAGTCTCTAAGAATTAAATGCAGTTGGGATAAGCACAGAAAGTCACAAAGAAACAAAAGGGCAGAAATAGCAGTGACCCCAAAGAAGGGTATACTATCCCACTGAACGAGTGCAACTTCAGTGTTAAGGTACCTAACACATAATACAGAATATCAACTACAAGTTTACAATATCCATTCTGACCATATTCTACTTTGATCCTCCTGCAAGTCTCTCTTTGATATCAGTGGAAGCTTTGTCCCAGGCCAAGAGTATCGTTTTAATGTCTAATTGATTTATACAGTACTTATAGGTCATAACTAAACACTGTCTGCATACGTGTGACTGTTCAATGTATCTACATGGAAAAGACATCAATTTGTACTAAAAGTTGAGAGTACAGAGGCAGATGGGCAGCAGATGCACAGAACCTCTGAAAGTCAGGCTCCAAGAATCTAATATAGTGACAGGGGCTGTTAAGAACATGGAGGGAGTCTGAAAATTACTTTAGATTGTGGTAAAGATGTGGTGCTTACGAGCAGAAAAGACCTAACAGCTGTTGGCTCTAGAAGGGCTTCGTAAGACAACTCTAAAATTAACTGTATGCCTTGCTTAGTTTCTCCACCACATTAGGGGTCTTTTCTTAGTGGGTCCATAGCACTGCTGTAAATGTTGTGCTTTAAAAATTCAGCTGCTGTCCCGTCTCGGCATCAGATGAAGCAAGCTGCTGCTTACGAAAGCACATGCATCTCTGATGTTAGTCTGTAAGGTGCAAATCTACCCTACCGTTTGACTGTTCTAAATTCAGATAATAGTAGAAACAAAGTCCTTTTCATGCTGGGATGATTTGCTTTGATGGACTCTCACTGACTGGGTCATAGCTACTCTGATTTGGTTATGGCAGCTAAAGAAAGCATCTTTTTGATCAAAAACTAAGCACAGTTTGATACCAACATAAACCTTCTCTAAGGGAGTGTGTGGTTGGGGGAGTGGGTCTTGTGCTTGTAGCAGGTCTAACGGATACATCCATCTTGTTTCTTGTAGTGCTATTGCTTACACTACTTTATTTTCTTCCATTCATTCCAACCAGCAAACCTTTCCACGCCACCAACAGCTGCAGCAGCCCCTCCTTCAGTAAGGAAGGATTCAACTCCTGTTATAGCAAACGTGGTGTCCCTTGCAAGTACCCCTGCTGCTCAGCCCACAGTTAACTCTAACAATGTATTACAAGGTAGGACAGCTAAATATGCAATTCCAGAGGTTTTACATCTTTTCTTTTTTTTTTTACCTTGGACCTTTATTTTGCTTTCTCACCAACCTGAGATACAGCATTAAAACCTGCTCTAGTTGAAGACAATAAGTCTCCATCTCCATTTCCCTGCATGTTGTGCCTGCTTTTGCAGCTATGCAAAAAGCTGCTAAATCAAAATGGCCAGGTTTTACATGCTTGTATCATAAGTGACTGTGCAAAGTTTAAAAAAAAAAAAAAAAAGTCAACAAAGACTCAGGCTCAATGGGAATTTATTCTCTTGACCTTAGGCAGGCAAGATTCTGTGGGTATATCTGATATCTTTTATTAGACCAACTGAAATATTTGGAAAAATTCTTCTTTGCAAGCTTTCGGGTACAAACACACTTTGTCAGGCTGAGGAAGCATCCTTAAACGCTTCCTCAGCTGAAGTTGTCCTTAGACCAACACGGCTACATCCTATTCCCTTGACTTCAACAGCTTAGGGTCCTCCCTGTTAAAAATACAGGAACTAATCTTATATTGTTCTAACTGACAGGTGCAGTCCCTACTGTAACAGCAAAGATCATTGGAGATGTAAGTTTTACAAGAGAATCCCTCTCTGCTTTGCTCAGACAATATCAAAAACACACCAAACTATTAAGACATTGAATATTTTATATGTAGTTCTTTTGCAGCTTGTATCTGAACTTCCCTTTTCTGACAGTAATCAAGATGTAAAATATGTGTCTTCACAGAAGTCTAGAATTTTTCTGCACACAAGTCTTTCTTCCTACATGTACTAGTAGACTGCTGATTTGATGTTCTAAGCAGCATTTTGCTTTTTGGACACAAGTATAAATACATGCTTCCCCATAGTGGAGCTCGTATTGTAATCTGGTCGTGCTATTAGAACAGATCACAAAGAAAAATATTCAGCCTTGTATGCAGAAAATTTAGGAGCACAATTAATCAGTCGGCTTTCAGCAAAACTGATTCTAAAAATTCCAGTGTTCTGCTTTTATATTTATTCCTTCTCAGTGACTTTGCATCAGTTTGCTCAGTTTACTGGATATTTCTGACTGTCAGCACTGTGACTTTAATGTGGTAATTGCAAAACTAACTCGGTCTTCTTGGTTCTTAATTTTTGTTGGCAGTAGACTCCAAAATCAGAATTTAGGAAGCAATATTTTATGTATAGATTCACATGCTCTGTTTTTGTTTGTTCTCTGCATTGTTGACAAGATCAAAAGTACTCTATACTTAATTGTATAAGTTAGCTGAATTTAACCAGTTTCAGATGATGGATGTGAAGGCACTCAAAGAGCAAAATGATACCAAATTCCATTTTTGCAATAATTTTTGTGGCAATCACACTCCAATAGTAAGGAGTAATTTTTTTTTTTACTAATTTCTCATTTTTAAATGACATCTGTAATTAACTTATATTGCAAGAAGTTTCTTTTCATACAGCCTTAGCCATTAATAACAGATACTCATCTTTTTCAATGTTCTTTTCTGTTTTAAAACCAGGCTAGTACACAGACAGATGCCCTGAAACTGCCACCATCACAACCTCCCAGGCTCTTAAAAAACAAAGCATTGTTGTGTAAGCCTATCACACAGACCAAGGCCACCTCTTGCAAACCTCATACACAAAACAAGGAATGCCAGACAGGTATGTATCAGATCATCACTTTATCTAAAAAAAAAAAAAAAAGCAAAAAAAAAGCCTGTATTTCAGATGAACGAGAAATATAGTGTTTTTATGAACAGGGAATGTAATATTTAAAAAGATAGAAAAGTCTTGATTTCCAGGCAAATTTCTTGAAGCAAATGCAAGCTACTTGTGAAATGCATTATAGAATTGCCTCCAACTAACCTTTAAAAGTGTGTTACCATAATTTTACTTGTATGGAAAGTGGTGCAGAGAAGTTTATTGCCATGTAAAAGTCTTGTGTCACACCAAGGTTAGAGCTCAGGTTCCCAACCTAAGATCAGACCCATTCTAATGATAAAGAACTTGGCTTTTCAAAGGTTCTGAACATGTTTAACTCCCAAAGATATTCAGGATGCCTGAAAACTGAGTCCTTAGGGACTTTGAATTGTATGTAGAATTCATCGCCATCATCCTAGAGCTAATATGCTATTGTTTGAATATAGAGCCTCATGTACAAAACCTCTGTTTTAGCCCCTCAGTGAATTATAGTTCTAACGATTCTTAATATCAACACTAAAATTTAACATGAAGATGCAAGCAACACACTACATTAAGTACATAAAAGGCTTGGAATACCAAAATCTAAGTTAGCCTCTAAACACAACTGTATTAGTTGCATAGGCAGTTACTGAACAATCCACTTTTTCTGCAAATACAATTTTTCATAAACATGCTAACTTTTGCAGATGAAAACACAAGCATGTGTCTTTTGAACAATGGTCTGAGAAGTTTTAAGGAATCCTTCTGAGACCAGCAAAATAAATAGGGAAGACTCTCTGATATCTTTTGGGACTTGGTGTTTTACCGTTGCCGTACAAATGGGCTGGAAGCTAGTTAGTAAAGGTCAGGTCTAAATCGCAGTCCTCACGTGAATATAGGTATACAATCCTGGCCTGTTTCACGTAGCTGTATCTTATTGCCTGATGGGTATTCCTCTGTTAAGATCTGTGTGTTATCCATATATTGGTATGCATGCACTATGTTAAGAGTCACAGGGGTTAATGCGCAAGGCTGTGCTTGGGAAGTTAGCGACAAGAGGCACCACTAATGGAACTGGTAATTCTCTGTGGCCCACACTTGGATGTTACTGAATTGCCATAGATTCACTCATTTTTAAGAACCAAACCACTTTTATTTATTTTTAATATAACAGAGGAAGAGGAAGTTCAACCCAAAATTGTTGTGGTGCCTGTTCCTGTACCTGTGTTTGTGCCGGTTCCCGTTCATCTCTTCACCCAGTATACACCTTTTCCACTTGGGGTGCCGGTACCTGTAAGTTTCTCTTTAGCAGATCTGAGAACTCGTGGGTTATGTGTTGTGGCCTGCAATTTTAAAGATTAGTCTTAACAGATCAAAGCACAATGTAGTTATGCTTGTTCTTCTTGCTGTGGCTAGATAGATCCAGTAAGTAGTATTCAGGAAAAGAACGGTTGCAAAAAGTATAGCTGCATTGACCTGGAGGTCATTTATTTCTACTAAGGCACCTTAATTCTGTACCTTTTATCCAGTGGTCCAGATCGAACCCTATCCTCAAAAGACTTGAGTTAGAGAACTAAATCTTTGGAATGTAAAATGAGTGTCTCTTGTGTATAACATAATACCTGATTAGGTAGCTTTTCCATTGCTTGCCCATGACTTCAGATTCCTAGTAACTCAAGTGTCACAAGTAGATATTCCTTGTGATACTTTTAGGGGAAAAAAACATGGATTAATCCAATGCAAGAAATTTGGGTTCAGTTTCAGATCCTAGTGTTTAGATCACAAGGTTATCAGAAGCTGGAAGTGCTGCAAAGGCATGGCATGTTCAACCACTGAAGCTCTTCTCTCATTTTTATGTCTAGCCAACAGTGGAATGGTATCAGAGCTGGGGAGAAAATTGCAACCAGTCCTTTATCACTTGAACAGTGTTGTGCATGATGTATAGTCTGAAACCTGAAATAATTATAAAATTGTTCAATCTGCAGGTGGGCTAAAAGGTTTAAAAAAAAAGAGTAGGAGCAATAGAGAGGAAAATAGCTGGATCCTTTTTCTGCATTTTCTGTGACAAAAAACTGCTTAATTTTCTGTGAAACAAGACAGTGCTAAGAAATCTGTACTTTCCTGTGTGTCTGTTGTAGGTACCAGTTCCCATGCTTATCCCAACTACTCTTGATAATGCTGACAAGATCATTGAGACCATTCAGGACATCAAGGAGAAGATTCCCACCAATCCATTTGAGGCTGATCTCCTTCAGATGGCAGAAATGATTGCAGAAGATGAAGAAAAGGAAAAATCTCACTCTCATGGAGGTAGGTGATCAAATTTAAAAGGAAATGCAAATAAATAGGACACAGTGACACTGGCTTGTAGGCAAATGTCAACTCTGCCTGCACTGGACCCCATTGCCCTGCATTATGCTGTGATAAACCTTTCTATGCCGTCATCAGCATTTTATTTGCCTAGGGAA